TTATGTATGTATTATGTATGTATGTATGTATGTATGTATGTATGTATGTATGTATGTATGTATGTATGTATGTATGTATGTATGTATGTATGTATATATATATATATATATATATATATAGTAACCAAAGTCTCGTTGTTCTCTGGATTGCGGCATAAAAAGGCATGCATTCTCTAAATAGCGCTCCTGTACTCTGTAAGTTAAAAACTAGAACAAATAACATACCTCAAGAATCCTACGATGATAATGAATCACTTGCTTGATTTGCTCTTATTCGATAGCCAAGTACGAATACCCCGAAACACAGCTTTCGAACCCAGTTTTTAAAGTCTATTGGTTTACAAGGTCTATTGGTTTACAGGGTATCGATGACTAGACCAGATATCGCGATGCAAAATAAATAAACCATTCCAATATCTACACCATAGCCTCCTAAATCACAAGAGGCTATGCATTCAGGAGGCTGCTACATATGTAAGCATTATAATAATCAGGCTATGTGCACTTGTGCTGTTGTGCACACGGGTGTAAAATTACACCTTTTTTTGGACGTTGCCCGACGAGTTTTGCGCGCCAAAACTCTGTCTTTTTTTTTGGTCTTGTTGAAAGAAAATCAAAAAGATTTCAGGAAGGCCTTTTGAAGAAGAAGAAAAACATACATATTTTGTTATAGAAAAAAGACCAAAAAACCGCAGATTTCTTTTTGTATTGGGGCTTTGTTTACTATTATAACATAAAAACAAAATATTTAGCAGGCTACATATGAGATTTCAAACTTTGTTTTCAATAAAAATATAGTAGCCTTTGGCCCAGTTCTCACTTCTCACGCTCAGTTGTGTTCACTCTTGTTTTTCGAAACAAAACAAAAGCTATAAAAAAAAGATTTACTTCTTTTTTATATATAAATAGATACAAAAGTTCTAATATCTGTGATAATGTGATTGCCTGAGACCCTGACGGCCTGACGGGTTTGAAGACTCTGAACTCTGACCCTGCTGTGTGTCACTGTGAGTGTGGGTCGAAAAAGATAATTGATAGAAAGTCTCAGAAAAAAAATAGTTTCTGCGGTCATTGGCGATTTAACCCCCATCCCATTGGCGGAGGTACTTGGTCAACGGACAATTCACATACCAATTTAAAAAAAAACTAGATATCAGTGTCACTGTTTATTTAAAACTTAGTGTTGGCCAGTTTGCTATTGTGACTATTTTTTATTAAAACAAGTGACACTATCAGAGTGTCAGACTGTCAGTTCAGTCTATCACTGACTCCACCGTGTCACTGACTCCACGAGTCCACTTTGTGTCACTGTTGTGCTGAAGAAACTGACCACTGACCACTGACCACTGACCACTGACCAGTGACCACTGACCACTCCATATAGAGGGCACAAACATCCTGCTTACTGTGAGTTGTGAGAGCTATGATTTGTGAATTTTCTGTTTTTATTATGTGGCTCTACGCCTCTACGGACTACGAGAGAGTCTCTGAGAGAGAGTGTAGTGAGTCAAATAACCCCAAAAAGCCCTCCAAGGCTCAGGGCTCAAGCGTTCTCTGGTGTTGGTTTATATTTTATCGATTTCATTACATTCGTGTAAATATTTTTATATACTGTTTTACTATATAAAATAAAATTAATTGAATATATTTATATACAATATAAATATATAATGTATAATAAAATAAAATAAATAGCAAGTATTTATTTATATGTATGTGGTAAATACATACAATCATCAGTAGTTCAGTATGAAAACCGAAGAAAATACCTATTTAATACCCAGATCCTCTGGAAAAATATATACATATTTATCGATTTTATTATGCAAAATAATAGCATATATATAATAAAATAGATGGCAAGTTCGTGGCAATCGTAGACCGTAGTCAGTATCTCCAAAAAATAGTCCTAAATCTTTTTCAATCTTTTTGAACCTATATCCGCTGGATAAATAACCATATTTAGCAATATATTAGCATCACGCTCATGAGATATCTCTGGATTACGTAGGTTTGGAGCGGATATTAGGCATGGCGTTGCGGAAACCGAAATTTAGGCCCAAGGGCCCATAAGGAGACGTTGTGCTGTAACATGCTGTAATCTGTTTTTAAGGTGTAGGGTTGTATTATTATTCATTTGTACAACCATAGCCTCCTAAATCGCAGATACCGTCTTGTATACTGGACGAGGTAGAATCCAATTCTTCTTTTTTTAGGAGGCTATGGTATAACTTTATAATAGACATTCCGTATGTATTACATGTAGAAAGGATTTTATTCTCAGTTGTGTGTGTACTGTGTACAGATACCCTCATGCCATCAGGAATTGGGTCCTACTGCGTCCAGTATACAATGACGCTGGAAGGATAATCACAATCCTCTGCGAAATGCACTAGATAGTTTTTCCCAGATCACGTACGCCTACTGTAAAGGAACCTTGTTTTCCTATTTCGCCTGTTTAGCCATTGGGGATGTTACCACTAGTAGTCTAGCAACAAGACTTGAAGTCATGTATTTAAGAAAATTGATTTATGTTGTCGAATATATGATATATAATGAATATGCCCCCGTAATACTATTTATTGTCTATAATATGGTAGTCAATAATCAAACTGTGATAAAACCTAATACTTCTCGAGATTGATTGTTGTGAAGCAATCGCTGGAGTACAAAATATGTGAAAATATGAAATATGGAACTTAAATTGTGCTATACTTTGGGTCACAATATTAGAAGTGTTCCGCTTTTTGTTAAGTATAAAAGTGAAACAATAGGGTTTTAATGAGTCAGGAATTTATGTATTGCACTGAACGCGGAATCTGTGCATTCATAGCCGTTAAAGAATTAGGTTTCCCGTGCACATATACATTGAATGTGTCAATATGAAACGAGTGTGAAGTTGTGATTACTGATCCCCGAGCGTGTACTGTTGTGTCATGTTGTTGTTGTAGTGGGATGATTTTAATACTTTGTATACTCATAGTATGGTGGGTGTTAGTGTTATGCAACTGCAGGCATGATTATTATTTAGGACTGATTGAGCCGAAAATTGATTCTGACGAAGTGCACAGGAGACAACCATTTCTTATTTCTTTATTTTCAGTTACACGTGTAGAGGTGAACTGCGCTTTACATTATCAACTAGTGATTTATATATTCATGTGTGCAAGCATTGCACTCTAAGATTCAGAGTGGCTATGATTTGTTCTTTTGTGTTGGGTAGTTGTTGGCGTATGTTCAGTGTTATGTTCCAACAGTTATTACGTTCCAAATATCGTATTCACCCTATGTCGATCTCTTGTGGTTATCAAGTCGGTTGTTACCCGACGGTTCCAGCTTTGATATGGTTGCAAGATGTCAAAATACAAATAAAAAATGTACAAACTTATAAATAGCTCGTCAGTGTGTGCAAATTTGGCAAGTTGCCCCTGGCAGATCCGATCCGTGCAGACTATTGGTTTGTCTACATACGAACTGTGCTGACGATATGTGTGCTTGAATCTCATATCCATGTCTGTCACATATGTATATACTAGAGAGATGGAATATACATATCTCTATATATACACCATACTGTATGACAAGTAGATATAGATATAGATATATCTTTTGATTCTCAAATGCACCGTGCACCCAGTCGTGTGCGCATATAATGTCCTATGAAATCTTCCGGTCGTTGAGCTTACTTTCTGTCTCAAGCTCATGTTATGAACCTTGTGCAAATCCCGTGCGTAGCGTCTACGTGTGTCTGTTGACGCGCGTGTTCATAAACACATGTGTACACACCGGTGTGCCTTCTGGCAGTCACTTAGATCAGATAGTTCCAATCGTCAGGGGTTACCAACGAGCAATCATCCAGATTGTCAACAAGCGCCGACGACCCCAGATCATCACTCAGTGGACTCAATATGTGTGAACTCTGTTTCTTTAGAGCCTTGATCGCATGCTCAGATTTGCTACTGTGTAGCTTCACAGTCCCGTGTACATCAACACTAGCGGGCACAATCAGATTCGGATTCATATCATCGTTGTTGAGCTTATCCAGGAACATCATGGATGACTGTACATCCACCCCGTGTAGTGTCAACGATGCCAGATCGGCCGTATTCAGCAGAAAAGAGGCGATGCCCAAGTTTGGATTATATGCAAGATCGTTTCCAGGGGCCAAACTGGGGAATGATGTGTCATCTTCAGCAACACCAGAAGAATGCACATGTCCGAGTGCGTTTGTATTCTGCACCTGTGCACGCGCATTCATCCCTGTGTCGTCTCGGTCATCGTTCTCCTGTTGTTCACGAAGCATGCTCAACCCTGTACCACCAATGGACTGCCCGTGAGGTTGCTGTGCAGATAAGTCCAGCATCGAGTACAGTGAGAAGTCACATTTTTGACTGGCGGTGAGTATGTCGCTGAGCGAGGATTCCGGATCGTTAAGATCCATAGTACCATTCGCACGTGCGCTCATCTCCTCTGATATTGACAGGCGCGTTCCGTCCGAAGGCCCTTGTAAACGATCGTGAGTACGAAGGTCAATAGCTGAGTTTGTAGTAAGCGGTGAAGTCCTGAAGACGTTCCCCACGTTGTGGTGCAGTAGCGAGTCCAGGCGAGTGCTATGGCTCAAATTCACATTACCATCCAAGTTGGCACTCATAGTGCGTGCTGTGCGTGTGGCAGTGCTTTCCATTCCTGGCGGGAACATCATGTCTGGTTGAGAATGCTGCCGTGTGAGAGCTTCATTGGATGTCAGTCCAAAGCCATTCCTGCCAAATGGACTGCCCATGTCCATCGCATCCAGAGTTGCACTGGAACACCTACGCGGCTGCACATCGGCGTCACCATTCGCATCTGCATAGATGTCACCATGTGCATTGTCCATGATGCTTTGCACACTGCTGCTTACCCCCCACTCCTGTGAGGGCCACATAGGTGATGTATGGTGTACGGTTGGCATACTGAACAGAAACCCGTCATTCATTCCTCCACAGTCCTCAGTCTCTGCAACATAATGAGCGCCAGGCTTGAAGGCATTTATGGGTGGGCTTGTGTGCAATGCCGCGTTAGCACTCGCTAGGATATCCGTAGCGGTATCGCATTTGCTGGTGTTAGTAGACTCGCCATGGAACTTGCCCCCCGTGTTGCTCAAGGGACTGGGGAATAGTCCAGTGTTATCTTTAATGTAACTGTTTGTGTTTGCACGCGCTGCAGCTTCAGAGCCTTGTGCATCGGGCATGGGCATCTTCGGCAGGTCGAAACTCAGCTTAAAGATATTGTCAATGCTCGATTCGTTCCCAAACATACTCGAAGAAGAGGGATACATGTCCATATCCATGTCCACATCAGTGTAGGTACTCACCGAGGCTCTCCGGGTCATGAAAGTGTCGTGCTCCTTCTCTTGTGACATAGGTAAGCCCCCGACTGTACCGCTAAGGAAGGTGCCCGTAGGCATACTTGCAGATGAAATTGAATTTCGTAGCTTCTGTTGTGGGCGACTCTGTATATGGCGCATATGGCCCTGTTGTTGATGACCAACGTGCAGATCAATGCGTTCCGGCATACCATACCGGCGTTGATTGTCAGGTTGCATGGAGAGAGCGATCGATCGTCTTGATGACTGGTCGTGATTAGCGTAGGCATTATAGTTCATAGAGGTTGGCATAGATTCCTCCGGCAGCACACCCAGCGTTGAATTCGGAGACATAGAGGATGAGCGCATGTGCTGGAAGTCCGTCTCGGAATCATTCGTTGGGGTTCTGGATAAGGGCTGCATTGGCATTTGTTGAAGGTATAGATAATCAGTCACTTACTTCACTTGCGAATCCACTAACATTGAAACTCTCATACAGGCCAATTTCAGGTATATGTGACAGTAAATTGGGAGTGTGAGATTCACAGAAACACAGTTAGACTCGAAAATTGGACAGGGAACTGATAGAAAGCTGTGGGGCATCGGGATCTTCGCAATTTGTTCCCACATTAGAATGCAAAGCAAACGAAGAAACTGAAAATTGAGCTCCTTCAAGCACTTACATGATTATTTTGGGCTTTATTTGGCGGATCCGACAAGGACCGTTGGCGAGGCCGGGTGGGATTTCTATATTTGAGAGAATGCGTAATGGAAAGGGTGAGATAATACCGTAGTAATATTGAATTTGATCTATGCGAGTGCAAAGAAGTCGAGTAGTTTCCTCCGCGATTGTCACAAACGAAAACTGCGTGAGACCAGCAATGAGACGCGACTACTTACCTGGATGTGTATGATGGTCGCTCCTTCAAACTATTCTTCCGGGCTGACGCGATACCCCGGCTCGTGGGCGTGGCAGATTTACTTCTATAGCATAGGAGATATACCAAAGAACAAAACTTCAGATGATTGTGCACCTTTTTGGAGAGCTGGAAGGCCAAATTCGAATCGGGTTTTTACGAGTTCGAAATCAAGACAGTCGGAAACGACTGCACTTGACTTGATAGATCGTTCACCAGAGATCAGTGCAATGTGAGAAGGGTGTATCAATTAACATACCGCTTAGCCTGCATTGGACTGTCGCTTTCCACAATATAATGAGCGGGTTTCATATCTTTGTTGGCATTCCTTATTATTTTCTTACTTTCTTTGACCGCACGTTTTACCTCAGAATTGCGGTTACGATAGAACGGAAATATGCGGCTTACCCATTGGCAAATACCTGATGTGATAGAAAACAGTTTGTGCAGCAGAGTTAAGTCAATAGCTCCGATTATATGTTGCCAATTAGCGAAAGGCGCCGTGAAAAGTTTCATAAGAATACTCAGGACAATTTCCAAAACATCTACATTCTCTCACGTGAAACAAGCGCATTACCGTCAAGTGTAAGCGTCATCATCTTATTACTTCTGATGGCCATAATAATTATCTCTTCCAACTCATACTGGGGCTTTATATTAGGATTCAGGCGACATTCCAACTCTGCGTTCACCCGGTAATTGAGATCAGTTGATTTGTTTCTGATGATTTGTGGGGTAATTTTGGGCACAATTAGATGCGGAGATAAAACGTGGGCTCAATAATTGCCATTATGTGATAATTTACGTACAAATTGTACATATCGAAAGAGGTCAGTAAACAAGAGAAAGGGTAGAGTGTGAGTGGGTATAGAGAAAGTTTGCACTTTGCGATACTTACAATATGTTTAAGATCTCCTTAGCCTCTGGTTGCACCGCGGCAGCAGGTTTCTCTTTGTTTGCAGGTTTCGCCGCCACAGGCTGGGGTAAGGAGCTGATAGTCAGCCAATCCAAAGGAGTGAGCGATAAATTCAATTGTGGAGTGTCGTCAACCGTTAGATTCTTTCTTTTAGGCTTCGGACGGTTCGGCTTGGCCCCGTTCGATACCTTGGCAGACAACTTTTTAGACTTGTTCTCAGTTTTAATATTGGCTGTTGTGGTATCTTCTGTACCCACTGGCGGTGCTAATGTGAAGGAACTTGGTGCAGCCGGGTGGTGGAGTGGAGGAATAAAAGCCAAGTCCGGATATCCAGACGCATTGGCGTCTCCGTTGGAGGTAAACTGCATAGCCATAGGTTCGTGTTTGATATTTGCTTGCTGTTTGAGTTTAGGTTGCATGGTGACTCGCGGACCACCACGCAAATGTGCGTGTGCGTTAAGTGTGTTGCTCCAACCTAAAGGCCCAGTTCGATTTCCTGGCATCTGCCTGCCGGCATTAGGGTTTACAAGTGGGTATTTCGCCCTTGTAGGCTCACCGAATGAAATCATATTGGATATTCACGAATATATTTTAGAGATTATATAATTTTATATGAAGGCAGAGGGTGCTGCTAACTGTGTGTTAGGATGTCTATTGCATAGTGATAAAATGTCCACAAATGTTGCTAGGTTGTGAACTTGGCAGATGCTGATTGCTATCGGCTACTATAGAATAGCTCTATATATTTCGACTTGTATTTCCAAATGATGTCTAAAAAGCTGTTGACTTTTCACTTTTTCATCACTTTTTAGTTTTTCCAAAGGCGAAATACAAGAGTGCTGTGGAAAACTGAAAACTGAAAACACTGTCAAAACACTGAAACAGATGGTCCTTTGTCCGCGTCCGCGATCACGAATTTACTCTCATGAGCTCGCCTCTAGTCGCAATGCGTGTTGTAAATTATATACATATATATAAAATAAATACATTTTGCTTTTGTTGTTTTTTACAATGATAAAAAGGTTTCATCAAATTTTCTAGAAACAACGGATCGTTTTTATACAATAAATAATCGGATATTCTGACCTATTGTGTTTTGGGTTTGGGACTCTGTGTCTACTAGTAGCCCATCTTTTGGGGGGTCAGGAGCTCAGGGACCTGAATAGCAGTCACGTACCGGACCAATTGGAAAATCGGACATCTCGATTTAGTATCTACTACAGACTATTTACTCGCTAGTAGAGGTGACACTGTCATACTCACTCTCTCCATAGAGTCTCTTGAGTCACTACTCTCTAGTAGTAGACCTAAGCTGCTACTACTATACTCTAGTAGACCTACTACTCTCTAGAAGAGAGAGTAGTAGTATGGTGCACAGCAGGCACCGGGGAACTCGTGACATCATCTTCAAGTTGATATTTAAATACATCGGCGAGATTCGGTCCAAATCGGGTTTCCTCGACGGCCACGGACTTTATCTCATCGAGCTAAAAACGCCGATTGAAATTGTCCTAATTGCTTTCCTTAAATTTTGGATTCTGGAATCCGCCGTTTTCCTGAAATAGGCACCTTTCGGCCCTATGTAGAGACTGTCCCAAACACCTCAAAGGCTCAAACTCGTCGGATTTGGAATGCCCTGATCAACTGGATCACGTCCATATATCAATTTACACCTAACGTCAAAAAGTTTGACGTTAAACCGTTTATAATTTTTTTAAAAATAACGAATAACGTTCAACTTTTATATCGTATACACAACAAACGATATTGTTTAGGTGCGGCTTTCTAGGTCATATATTATGTCCTGAAATTGCGCAAATATATGTAAAAATGTATGTTTTTGTTTAATATAGGTGCAGTTCTGAAGTGCAAGATCCACGATTTCGACCATATAATATTGAGTTTATAAAAGTTAAACCGTTTATAAATTGAAAAATATCGGTTAACGTTCAACTTATATCTACACTACGTATAACTTATTGACGTTAGACTTACACTCTTGTTATTAAAATTATATGCCACACAAAATGTACCAAGCTACGCTAAAAAAAATGCAAAGCCACAGCCCACAGTCTGGGTATTAAATACTAAATAGGCATCTATTTCAAATTCGCATTGCATTTTTGGATCGCTCTCGACCTTTCAACAAGTGCTTTGGAGGAGAAATTTTGAATTTCATTATTCAACTTATTTACAAAATCTGCTTGAGTTTCCCGGTTACTGCTGACAGAGCTGAGTGCTGTGCACTATATCTATTTAAAAATAGTATTTAGCAGTAAGGTCTAATTAGTGCAATATTTTCTATAAAAATTAATACATAGCCATCTATCGAATACTACGAATAGGCGCCGGTACGCCACTCGGCATACGTCCCGGACTCCCGACCGTTCTTTACTAGCTACTAGAGTATTTTTTTATGGACACTCTCTCTACTCTCTTAGAGTAGAAAGAGAGACTGGAGCCCACGGCCCCACACTGGCCCACAGTGGGCAGTGGCACAGTCTTCAGGGCCCTAGATCAGGGCCACTGCCTTTTTCTACTGACCTTTTTCAATTTTCAGGGCGAAGTTTCTACCGGCACCTGCAAATTTGCACAACTAAATGTTTTTATAACAAAAAAGACAACAGAAAATCGAAAAGTAAAACTGCAATGTTTTTTCTTGTTCGGATTAAACAGTATATATAACATGCGAAGAATCGAATACAAACAGAGCAGCCCAAGTAATATTTTTTATATAAAAAATATTGGTACACACTATCTGATCGCTAACATAAAAAAATAGAAACAAATATCTCAGATTTGCGACAGTAAAAGTATACTCTTCTTTTTTTTGTCATTTATATACTAAAAATAAATATTGTCCTCGAGAGTCGAGACTCGAGAGTGACAACGTTGCCTCAGCCCTCGCCGTCCACTCCAGGGCCCAAGGCCCAGGCTCGCCCCACTTTTTGTTCCTCTCAGGAGTCAGGACTCAGGCCCCAAGCCCTGGGCCTCTACTACTTAGTAGGCTGCAGCTCGCACAAAAGGTGCCTAGGGCCCCAGGGCCTGCTAGGCCCCAGGGGCTTGCCGTCTCTACTCTACTCTCTACTTATTTACTACTAGTAGAGACTCTCTAGAGAGAGAGTAGAGACAAGACTACAAACTATTTACTCTCTATGGTGCCTAGTAGTAGAGACTAGAGACTAGAGAGAGACGAGAGAGACTAGAGAGACTAGATAGACTAGTAGAGCGAGAGAGAGAGCTCAATAGTCAATACTGAATACAGACTCCTCGCAACTTGGTCCCCATGACCGTCCGGCGTCACAGGGAAATAACAAGAGACATCTACGTGTACATTGAAAGCAGTAGGCGTATATTTGTGACATTCTGGAATGTTTTGGGATAGAGAATCAACCAAACGCCTGTGTTGCTATGACTGCGTTTGCCTATGAAGTATGATGGAAAAGAGTGTTCGATTGATATAGGCATATAACATTGTTTTCATACCAATTGAAGCGGTCTTTTGTGAATATTTTTCAAATATATATACAACAACAGTTTAAAACATTGAATTGACAGGAGTCAATAATGACACGTATTAGAAATGAACAGTGATCCCGCCACTAATATGTAGGGTGGTAGAACATATATACACCCTTAGCAAAGGGTTAAATAAACTCACTTACTTCTTTTAATGCTAAATGTATAACAGGTTATAAGCCTATATAGACTAACTATATCCAGTAAGTGCTACACCATACACGACAACAGACACACATTGCTGATCCTCACACTCATATTACAGCGCTACGTACTCTCACAACACTATATACACACATCTTCACATCTCCCCGTTAATACTAGCTTAAAAAAACATGCCTCTATAGTCTACATACGCGAATGAAAAGGGACATCTATCGAAGTGGACAACTTAAAAATGTACATGTTGCAAGGACCCCATTACTTCTAGCGAGAGAGAGTAGAGACCAGTACAGAAAGAGAGAGTCTCCTCTACTACTATTTTTATATTTTCGAGTGTACTATGTATCCTCATTACGTGTAAACGCCTAACTTTGGTTACTTGTCGCTGGTTTAGTGCCTCAGCCCAACAAATCAGTGAATAAATTACTCTCTTGCATAGTCGCTAGCTAGAGAGAGCTCACACAGCAGGTGCCACCGCGCCAGGCAGTTCTCAGTTCTGTGACTATGAGTCTGTAATCTGCATCTCTGTGACTGTAAGTCTGTGACTCTGTGACTGTGACTGTGAGTCTATGAGACTGTGACTGATCGCTGTTGGTGTCTGTAACTGCGAGTCTGTGAGTCTGTAACTCCTGGCCTCAGAGGCTTTAGAGCTCAGGCAGTCAGGCCAGTGTCCACCGAATCTATTTGACATTTCTGATTTCTTTACTGGATGTAAAAAAATTGTCTGCTCCCCCAGACTCAGAGATTCTGCCACTGACTTTGTGTACCACAACCTGACTCTCTTGTTTTTTTTTGTGGTTTGCAACCAGAATATCAGTGTAAATATTTTTTAGTGATCTAAATTAGAAAGATAGTATAAACTCTGTTGACTTGGGACATACCTCGTACTCTGTAGTCTGTACTCTATACCTGTACTTTTAAAAATGTCCGTCCTAACTCCTCAGGCATTTCTAAGTGGAAGTTGAACTACAAACTTTTATATTTCATGATCTTGAGTTTTTACTGTAGTTTTCAATTGGTTACACATTTTTCAAGAAATGGTAAGTATCAGACATTTAACCGTTTCTGCATTCAGAACCAACCGAAATACTCAATCTCTTGAACAGAAAAAGCTAAAGAAAACCAACGGCTCGCAGACTCACAGATTGTGTCAATTAAAAACATATGATATTATTGTCTTTTATTCAAATTAATCATCATCACTATTTACAAATTTCAAACGACTTTTTTTAGAGTCTACTCGAAACTAGATGAGATTCGAGAGTTGTTTTGCGTGGAATATATATATATAAATCAAAATCAAAACAAAAGCCCCTTGGGGCTTGGGCCAATCACCAATGGGCATTGGGCATTGGGCATTGAAATTTGAATCCTTAATGGCTGCAAAGAAGAAAGTGAAACTCAAGTGAGTCATGTCTGGTACATAAATATTTTGTTTTTTAACTTTTCTTTAATAAAAAAAAGGTCTCTCTAATCTAGTATCTAGTCTAGCATGTATTTTTTTCAAATTTTGTGGTCCAACAGATTTTGTTTTTTGTTTTTTTGTTTTTTTAAATAAATATTTAAATATATATATTTATTTATTTTGGAGTCTTGGTGTGTACAATTGTAATTTGTTTTTTGTTTTCTAAATATACCAAATTCCCTATACATACATATGTAAATACATATATTGTGGAAGACTGGAAGACCGAAAAACGCTCTGGGTCGCTCTATGGCAATATTTATTTATATTTGTTAGTTTGTTTTGTTTTTTGTGTTTGTTTTGCAACAAACAAAAAGAAAGAAAAAGTAAATACATATGTAAATAAATAAATACCGTACATACTAATTTTTAAAAATAGATATTTACTGTATTTTTTTAAAACAAATACCTATTTACGTAGCCTTTCTGTATAATTTAGAAGGCTAGATACATATCGTGCACAGCGGTATGAACCAGGTCGTTCCCGGGCACTGTATTCTCGGTGTAGTAACTTTTTTCGTAATCACTCAAAATCAATTTTGAAAGCAGACTTGGGCTC